AGAACGATCATTTCGATACTGATCTATTTATTGATGAAATCTAAAAGAGACCAACCATCGTCAAAGGATTTTATAGATATTTTAAAAGAATTAAAAAACTTGAATTTATTTTGTCTTAGTTTTGGATACAACGTCGCAAACATTTCATGCGTCAGTCTATCTCGTAATATTGGGTGCACCCAAAATTCTCTTTGCCTCCGCCGTCGTCTTTTATAGCGACGATAGAGGAGCCACACACAAGCAATCACTTCCACATCCATTTCCAAACCGAGCCAGTGCGCATGCTCCGCTAAACGCTTGTTGAAAAACGCCTAGTGTGTACAGGGCCTAAATCTTTGCTGAAAAATTAAATAAATCTACGCACATACCTACAATAGAATCAGCTTGTTGTAATCATGGTTATTTTTATCAGAATAAGCACGTCCCAAACTGAATAAGTTAAATACATGTACACTTACAAAACTTTTTTTATTCAGAGCTATAGTTATTTCAAGTAAACAGTTATTTTAAACTATCTTTTTATACTGTCAGTTTCAATCTCTGGTTGGTAGCATTGGTCTTTAACCTTTTTTGTAAAGAACCATACAAGTTTTAGAAGATAAGTCTGGGAGCTATGTACAAAAAATATAGTCAGAGATTAAAATTTTTAATTTTCAAGTAACAATGGACATAAATCTATGTGAAATTTTCAATTACTTTTTCAAAAGAATGTTGTTAAAATTGGAGGTAAATTTTGTGGCACCCAGTTATAAAATCCCATTTAGATATTCTTTGGATTGTGGAGTTTAATATTTTGATTTTATATAAGTTTCTTTTTTGAAAAGGTATGTTTGCAAAGATACATAGAAACAAAACTAGAATATATCCTCTAGTGAAAACTTTTTAAGGGATGGAACATATTGATGGATAGTTTTTGCATGGAATTATTTAGAGCAGAATGTGACAACAAATGGTTGAAATTTCCTACCAGATCCATCTTGAAGTGAAACACATGAACTGGCCCAGTCATCTGATTTTTTTTGTGATAAATATCTATGTCTGTGTGCTAGTACAAAATTGTGCACAAGTAGAAATATCCATCTGTTATTTCAGTCCTAAGACTTATAATTCTTTTCTGATGGAGTTTTGTAAAAATTTAACAAATCCCCTTTAAAAATGTTTTTACAAAAATCATTTGCAACAAAGTCCATTAATTCTAATTGTCTTTTGAAAAGTTAAATGCTTTATTGTACTAGTTTGAATTCAATGATAAAACATATCAGTAAAAATTTACTATGTAGGTCAGAGTAATATGTTTCAGGGATATATTTAGCCCACAGGTCATAGATTGGAGATCCCTGGTGTAACATGTTCCTTTAATGTCAAGGTCAGTAACCAGAATTTCCTTAATTATAGTCTTATCAGCCTACTTAATGTTGTCAGTTAGTTATTGTTATCAATACAGAATCCCAAAATGGTTACAATTACCAGATTCTGTTGTATATATTTAAATATAAATATGCAAGAAGTGCCAACTAATTTGATGTAACATTTGTTTCATTAAAGTGTGATTTATACTGGACACAAAAGGTATGAAATATAACAAAGTAAAGAGAGCTATTGAAGTAACATGAATATATATAATCTGTTGAAGCAAGTTAAAAATTTTCGTCTCAGCCAATGGAAGTAAATGACTGCTAGGGCATGTTGGAAAGCACAAAGGCACAAAGCCAATGAAAATAACCCTTTCATCTCATGACTTGAAGCAGAAAAAAATGGCATCCAATAATTGAAAATATCCATATTGAAACTGTTACAGGTATATACAATATTTTAGTTTTGATGAGCCTACACAACAATGTAAATAAAAAAAAGAAAATTAACATGGCAACTGCAATATGTATTGAATTTTCTAAAATGCTATCTGTTGATGAAAACTACAACTTATGACCACACTTATGTGAGGAACTGATTTAATCTAATCTCTACCACTTACTCGGCAACAAGTTTGTTAAACTCTCCCATGTTGTCTTTGGATCTTTGATTTAGATCAAAGATCATAAAAATACCAATCTATAGTCAGGATTCCCAACACCAGTTAAACTATTATTTAAATTGCAGTTTAACTCACGATATGAGATAGTGAATAAATTAAAGTAGGGGGACTTATTCCATGAGTGGGGAAGATATGCGGGTAAGTGATAAAACTTGACGTAGAGCTGAGTTCAAAGACAAGACCATATTTAATTAACAACAAGATTTAATAAAGGTTAACAAAGTAAATACAGATATATGGAGAGAATAACATTTCTTAACCTAATCACAAGAGTAACAAAATCTATCTATTTCTTGTGACCGAGAGAAAGTTTACAAGTATGATATAAATCGTACTACTTTATGATGTAAGTCGGTCAGTAGTCGTCAGTGCAGTACGGGAGATGGAAGATAAGTTTGTTGGGACAATTCTCTTCTTTATGTATGTGCACAAGTTCAAATATGTCAAAGAGACCGTATTGCATGTCCAACTTCTCATGAACTGCCTGTCGTCTATGTGGCAAGGTCGGATTTCTATTGACTGCCTTGAATGGTAGGAAAACTACCCTTTTATCGGGTCTCTGACCATTGGCATAAAATGATCTGTGGTTACAATGGGATGTGCGATGATGTGTAGAGGGGGTAAAAATACACATAGTGGTCAGAATTACCGATAAAGTCCTGTGAGAAAGGAAGTTGCTTTCCCTTTTCTCGAAAAACACGACAAATGTAACCTCTCTTTTTGTGAACAATATGTAAGAAATAATATATTTTTATGCTAAATTAACTATAAAATTTTGATTCTCACACTTAACACCATTTGCAATGTGAATGAAATTTGGTTTTCTTGCCTCATTTGCTCTATTCTCTTTTCTTTCTCACTCTTTGTGTCCAGTGTAAATCATGCTTTATATTTGATTTTAAATTAAAACCAGTTAATGCTTTATTTGTGTGGATTTTTAGAATATTTTTAAGAGTTCACAGCTATTAAAATGTATCATCTAACTTTAAAACCCATTCGCTTAGCATTTAGTAATAAATGTTTCTTCTGCTCTATTTACTTTTAAACTAAAAAAGAGATTTTGTACTCATATGAAGCATATACTAGGAAGATTAATTGTTGAGTATTTCTCTACTGTTGAGAATAGTTTATTGACAAATCCATAAAATCAATTATTTTTGAATATTTATAGTCTATTATTCATAGACTATTATTTTTGAATATTTTATTTGTAAGCTTAAATACAGTATAGAGAAAATTTCTCTCTCCAGGAAAAACAAGTCAATCAATGAAGTAATTTTTCTGATAAATTATGTTATTGAATAGTTCAATAACATAATTTATTTTAAATATTTTTCTGACTGAAACTTAACAAGAAATTAAAACTTTTCATCTCATCTGAGGTGGTTGACCCCTTAAGTTAAATTACAAACACAAACACACACATACACACACAAATACTTAATATACAGTCTGAACAACGATAAGGATATCAAAACTAAGACAGATGATGTTGACCTCGACACCTGGATTTGGATGCTGTCGATTGACCACAGAAGAAAGTGCCCCACTGAATCTGATTCATTACAATTCTTTTCTGGTTTTAGGAGCAGCTTGTTGATAGGCTGCAGTAAATTAGGACTATACAGTAATAAGCTGCAGTTTAACTTCAGGGCTACATACTAAATCTTGTACTATACAGAAATGTTCAATTTAGAATGAACTAGAATGTCTTGTTTTGAGTTGAAAATTCCAAAAAAAATTTATCAAAATGTCTTTAAACACTCTTTCTGGCTCCTTAAAATATATCAAGAATTTTGTTCAACTGTACTAATGATACAGAGCCATCTCTGGTTAAATTTAGCTTTTAACTGTATCGTTCATTACTTTACAGATTTATCTGTTTACAGATTTGGAATTTGATATTTAAGAGATAAATTTACTTATTTATTTAACTATAAAAATTGTTTAAAACTTTTTTGCAATGCATTTAGTTTATTTTTTAATAAAAATTTTGTAATTTACAGGAGGAGATCAAAATGCAAGAAGGAGGTAAGACGAATGCTGTGTGATTGCACATTAACAAAAGAGGAGAAAGAAAAAAATATTCCAGGTTGTGGTGAAGATTGTTTGAATAGGCTTTTGATGATTGAATGGTAAACATTTTTTTTATATTATTTTATATAGGGTCGATTTTGTTTTTTAAATGAGACATTGCTTACATGAGTCTTATTAGTGTTGCTTGTCATTATTGATGGTTATATTGCTGGCTTTAGCATAATATTTTAATCAAAATGAACAGTTAATTTTGCAAGTACTGTTTTAAAATAAATTAATCAAATTAATTATTACATTACAGATTTGAGAAATTAAAATGGAATTTAAGATTGTAATTTTTATATTTTAAATAATTTAGTCAAATGTTTTTGAATAATTTTAGATTTATATGAAGTTTTGAAAGTATAATTTATCATTTTACAGTTATAGATTTGGAATATGATGAAGAGAGAGCTTAAATATCCATACTGTAATATTCAAATTGCATTATATATTTTTCATTAGCAGAATTATTCCATATGATCCTTGAGAATAAAAAAAGTCATTAAACAGAGTATAGTATAATATTTCTGATTGCACTAGAAGAATAATTGCTGCAGAAATGATAATACAGGGAGATTCAAGATAATTTTTCAACTTTAAAAGCATATTTTAAGAATTAGTTGGGGTGTAAATGTATAGCAAAATACACAAGTTTTATTTCTGCAGTCATCACGGTTTGATGTGATACAACAAATATTTCAATTGAATTAATTTCTTTGCCAAATGTAAAGCAGAATATCTGTCACTTTGGTAACTGTGATGGTGATTTGAGTTTTGAACTCAGTAAGATTTGCAGGTAAGGATGGAATAAACATTAAATCTTTAATGAAATTTCAGAATAAAAATTTGAGCGATATCAAACCAGGAGAACAAAGTAGGTCACTCTCAGTCTTGTTCAACCAATCCACTGTCCTGTGAAATGTATATCAAGGAAATCCTAGACATCTGTATGCTAGTGGTGTAGTGTGCTGTCTTACTGAAAGTGTGTATGTTCTTTCATGTCATCATCTGTAAATGTAAAGTAAAAAAGTTTTCCAGCACATTTAGGTACATGATACCATTTATGGTTCCCTCATGGAAAAAGAGGTGATAAGTTTATACTTTGTCTTTGCTAAGAGCACAAAACACATTTAGTTTTGGACTTTCATGAATATGTTTTACAGTTACTTGTGGATTTTCAGAGTCCCAAATCCTGCTTTTGTGGGTGTTCACTTTCCTATTGATTCAAATGTTGACTCATCAATGAAGATAATATTGTCAAAGGATATCTTGTCTTTCTCAATCTGATAAAACATTTTTGCACAGAACTCCTGTCACTTGCTAAATGGTTGTGAAATGCTTGTTTCATTAGTCACATGTTGTGTTGATTTTACAGAACTATGAGTAAAGTTTGTCTTCACTTGTTCTTCAATAGAATCAGAAATACATGGGAAACAAGGGATTAGTGTTGATGAACAGATCAAGCTGTTTCAACAAAATTTCTCTGCCAAGAGTAAATTGTAGGTCTACTTGGGAGAATCTCTGAGATACTGGTTGCAAAAATTCTGTTGAATCATTGTTACAGATTTTGTTTTCTTGAACCAAATACACCATGAGTGTGCTGTGAACAGTGTAAGCAATCATTTTGAAATGCATACTTCACAATGACAGAATTTAGTACTATGGCATGAGAAAAATTTTATGTATTTTGCTATAAATTAACACCTCAATTGATTCTGTAAGTTTTGATTAAAATTTTGTATGGTTTCAAAGGTATAAAATCCTATCTCTCTCCTTCTCAGCAACATTAATTATAATATATGAACACACCTGAATTCTACTTGCTGAGTTTTTTTTCTCTTTATTCAAACATTTTCATCCTATTTGGTTAGGCCATCCTCAGGTTTTCCTTTATCGTTCCAAAATGGAACCATTTATTCGAATTTTATTTTGATTTGAATTTTTGAAATAACAGCTTTTTGTATATTACATAAATAAATAAAATAAATTATGTCCAAAATAATAAAATTATGAACAAAATAAAATAAAATAAAATATGTCCCTACACGTGCTACAAAAATATTATTTTGTTTTGATGGGGTTGATTAAAAGGCTGTCTTAGTGCCTATGGGATGGAAAGAGTTTAAAAAAAATTATTAATATTGATTGTTTATATTACATGAAACATTATCTTTGTTTGTTTATTTACAGAGTGATAATTGCATTTTAAATAAGAAATTTTTGTTCTTATTCTAAATTTACAAATATGAAAACTTTATATACAGTTGTCTGCTTTTTCAGAAATTGAGATGAAAAAATTCTACTTAAACTACTGGAAAGCACAAAATTACTAATTTTGTGCTTTCCAGGCTTATCCTCTGGTACCAATATCAGACAATAGTGCTAGTAATTTTGAAGAAGGGCTGGAAAGTTTAAAAGCACTAAGATTTAAGTGGAATTTATCTTGATTTCCAAAAAAAAAAAAAAAAGTAAATTCTATCTGTTTAAGGAAATTGGAAAAATGAATTTGGTTGAAATTTTATGATATAATGTGAGTTAATTAGATAATTAAGTTAATTTGATTTTTATGCTTGTATATGTTCTGAGTAATCAAAATGTATACACAACGTGGTTCATTAATTTTAGGACAGGAATTATAAAAAATCAAAAACACATGTTAGCTATTATACATATTTTTTTATTTATTTAATGTATGATCCATTAGTATAGTGGTTCCCAAACTTTTTGATTCTTGGCACCCTTTGCTAAATGCAGATTTTCCCACGGCGCCCTATATCAAATTCTAACAAGTACATTAAATTCTAATATAAAAATTTTATAACATTTTGTGGCACCCCTGTGAGGAAACCACTGCATTAGTATGTATGCAGTCTTTAAAACAGTCATACAAATTTTCAGAGCTGCAGAAAATTTCTTTTTCAATTGTCTTTAATTTGTCAGTCATAACTTTTAGGATGGTGGGAACATCTGCAAATTTTGGTGTCCTTTAAGCTTCAGTTCTAACTTGGGAAATAAAAAAATAGTCCAGAGGAAATAAATCTGGTGAGTAAGAGGATGATAGTAGGGATTGATGCATGATTGCAGTATTGTGAGTGAGTATGGGCACATTGTCATCCAACAGAAAAAAATCTTGAAACTGGAATGCAGTAGGATGAACATGCTGCATGCATATCAGGAAACAATCCTGTACTTATTCTGCATTCACTCTTTTCCATCTGGTAAGAATTCTTTGTGAATCACACTTTGAGTCAAAAATATGATAAATATCATTTTGATGTAACTTTTAGAATTTTAGTTTTGTAGTCAGTGAGACACTCTCAGCAACTCATTCTGAATTCTGTTGCTTGGTTTATGTAGAATAAGCAAAGACAAGACATTAAGTCTCATCTCCTGTAATGATTCTGCCTAAGAAGTTTTTTTTGATCTGCTATTGCAGTGATGTTTTGACAAGATGTGATTTGATCTGTGTTCAGCTGTCAAGGACATGTGGAACAAAATGAGCACACACATCTTTTTGTCTTTCTCAAATTTTCACTCAAAATGTGAAGATCAAGTTTTGAGGATGTCCAAAGTCTCTGCTATCATCTGTGATATTGTTTAGCAGTTGTTCTTCACTAACTCAGTGACAGCAGGAATATTTTCTTTTGTTTGAGTAATGTGGGATGACCACTTCTTTCATTATTGTCCACCAATTCCTTTTCATCATGAAACTGCAAATACCGTATGAAGACATTACACTTGTTTAGAGCTTTACCATGCACCTTTTGTTTCAGTTTTAAAGTTTCTGTAGCAGAAGGATAAAACTTAAAAAATAATTGCAATTTTCCATTCACTTTTCAAATCATGATGCAGCAACAGAAACATAGTTTATCCTGGATGTTATAACTCATGAATTTCTGAGTGTACATTGGTGACACTCTGTAGTTGAATAGATAATAGTTATTATTACTTAATTTGCAAATTGGCTGATACATTGTTACATTATTACTATGGCAAAAATTTGTCCCAAAATTTATAGACTACATTGTTTATATTTCTATATTAAATAATTTTTATGAAATTTTATTTAATATAGAAAAGAGGATCCTATAATGCCAGTATGTGCTTTAATATCATATAAAATAGATCAAAATTATTTACATACATAGTGTCTGAAAAGTTTAGAGCGGTGGAACCTTTTGTAGTTGAATCTCACTTTAGAGAGATCTCATAAGTACAATACAATTTCAGTAGAATAGTATATGTATTCAGTATACGTTTACCATAACTTACACATAAATTGTATTTAGACAGATGTCTTTATTGGAAAAAGAAAACATACGTTAGACACTCCTTAATCTGGCCATTCCTTGCATAGAGGAGTATCAAATTACTGAGAATATATAAGTTAAAATGTAATCAATGACATGATCTGTTACCATTTGGTACAATTCTTTTTGAAGGCAGGTGGACAAATAATACAGCAAACTGACATTTAATACTGTACACAGAAACAAAGCCAAGTAAATATGAAAATGGGATGTATGACATGATTAACATATTCATGGAAACATAAATGTACAGGCAATCAAACTGCCAGATAATCGAGAAGTTGGATTATTAAGGTTGCAGATTAACAAGAGTGTACTGTACTTTCATTACTCAAAATTAATCAATTTTATTTTGATATCAAACCACATTTGAAACCACAAAAAGCCACAGGTTCCCCCATCTAATGTTTTTAGAGTCACGTTAAGATTATAATCTTATATGTTCTATTGAATGCAAAAAAAAAAAAAAAAAATGGTAAAGTGGGTGATCGGTTAATGAACAAATTGGACAACGAATACTTTTGTGAAAGATTTTATGTTCAAACAACAAACCCATGTTCAAATAACAAACATCTCACAGAACAAACAAGTGACATAAAGTAATGAATACCAATTGGTCTTCCCTTGTCTCCAGGTAACAATTTGAAACTTTTTGAAGCACAAGGAACATGGACATCGACGCTCAACCTGGTATATATTGATCAGGTAGTATTACTCCAAACTTTGAAACCACCCTTGAAATTTCAGCCTTTTGTTTACCTTTCTGAGAAAGAATTTTTTTTATAGTCTTTGTGAGACTCAGGCAAGCACTCTAAGTTTTGCATCAGTTTTCATTTTCGAAAAGCAAGAGTATAATAGCCAAGGTAGAGAGTGGGCAGAAGATGTCTGATGTTGCTAGACAGTATGGCTTAAACAGGTCTACAGTAGACACAATCTTATCTAAGAAAGATATAATCAAGAAGACTCAAGCAGCCAAAGGAGTAACAAAAATCACATCTGAGAAACAAAGAACATTGAAGAGTTCATAATGGAACCTGATTTGATGACAGAACGACTCCAAGAACTCTTGAATGAAGAACACTAAGAAAATCAGCGAGGTATGTTTTCTTCTGAAAAAGAGGACTAATGCCAACATCTGCTAGTAAAGATCTTTTGAAGAAGTTGGAGGATGTCAGAACAACAGTCTTAGAATAGTATCCAAACCAGGTTGAGGTTAATAGGCTTAGAGATCTCTATAACAACAATGCTATTAATTAATTCTAAAAAATCTTGAAGAAGAGAGAAAAGTAATCGACATTGCACAGATTCTTTAACGCCCCACAAACAGAAAAAAACATGACTGATAAAAATGCAAGACTGTGTATATATGTATTTTTATTATTACATATAAATGAATGTAGTAAAAAAGTATATAATTTTTTATTTATTTTTTTGAGTCTCCAGAATGAATTAATCAAATTCCCATAATAATCTATGGTAAATCAATAATTGGATAGCGAACAATTCAGGTAGTAAACATTGTCTTGGAACGGGTTATGTTTGTTAACCGATTACCCACTGTACTTCATTTCTAAAGGTGTCTGGAACTCGAAAGGAAACATGTTGAGCATATTTCCTGAAAATATGTGTTGTGTATTGTTTGGAAATAAATTTCTTCAAAGATTATAGATCTTTTGAAAACTTTGTTTTAATAAATATGATTCAGTGAATTTTTTTAAATGTTATACATAAGAGTTATAATTACATTCAATTAGACTTAACAAAAATTTAAAGAAATTTAAGATTTTTAAAAAGTAACAACTCTCATTCTAATATATAAATCTTCGTTTGTAGTGGTTCTCGATGTGCTACGGGGGACGCATGTACAAATAAAAGATTTCAAAAGGTATTTGAGAGACTTTTTTTTATCTTGTAAAACATTTTTTAAACTAAGGATAAAATGTTATATAAATTATTTGAAATTATATTAATTAATTCAGTGCTATATAACATATGCTAACAATTATTTAATAAATAATTTTTGACAAGGATCTTTTCAGCACAGTTAATTCAATTCTGGACATTTTCAGAGGAATAAAATTTTATAATGTTAAAATTATTTACATTAAATAAAAAAATTCAGTTGTAATACTTTTACATGACTTAGAGAAATTTCAAATATTAAGAATAATTAATGTTAAGAAAAGATTTTTAATATATTAGGGAAAAAATATATTAGAATATAAGGACTTTTACAAAGACAAATTTTCTACAAACAAATAGAAGCCACACAGCAATTATTTTTGAAGCTTGCTTTATTTGTCTATGGTACCAGTCTCCAAGTCACTTATCAGTTGCAATAATTTTTAAAATAATTGAAAATTTGCAAATCACAAATATTTTATAATTTTCTCTTCATACAGCTATTTTAGCTTAGCATGCAATGAATATTTTTTTTATTTGGATAAGTATTCCATTCACAGACATCAGAAATTAGAACACACAACCCATTATGAAGTCCAAGCCTAAATATTAAGAACAGATAGGCAAAAACATTTGAAAAATCTTTTAAAAAAATTGCAAAGCATAGTATCATAGAGGAATAAAGTTTACTTTAGGAAGACAATTGGAATGTGGTTTTCTATTTGTTTTGGGGGGAAAAATTTACTTTATTATTTNTGCTTAATTTATTGAACAAAAAGAAAATGCAAAAGTAGATTAAACAGAAAGAATAAAAATAGAGATAACATACTGAGTTTTCTGTTTGAGGGAGAAGTCATCTGTCTTAATACATTAGATTTTTATAAACTGAATTTTATAGCATAATGATTGATGTACTGTACATTGTATGTTAGGTTTTATACATTTTTTAAAATTTCAGATAAAACAAAAACATTCTAGAATTAACATGTCTGTTAGAAATTTCACTTTAGTAATTTTCAGTTTTGTTTATGAATTTTAATTATAATTTATGTAATTTGCTTAATTTCATAATCTTAAAATTTGAAATAATTTAAGAATAAAAAAATTTCTTCAATACTATTTTACTGACTTATTAATTACTACGAAAACATTCATCTCTTCTTTACTAAAACTAGAAAAATGAAAGTGTTCTTAACTGTTGTAATACCAGTAAATTCTAAGTTATGAATTCATTTTTAGTCTGCTTTAATAGACTTTTTGTATAGATTTTTTTTTTGTGCACTTTCTCTGTTGAAAAATAACTTTAATTGGAATCTCTAAATATATTCTGATTGATTGCCAGAGTTAATAGATTAGAAATATTCGAAAAGTTTTATATTACTATTTTACTAAAAAAATGTGTATAATACATTATCATCATGTTATTTAGCAAAAATTTTTTATGGAATTATACATAAAAAATGAAGACAACAAAAGCCATAATATATATTTCAGAATAAGATAAGTATTCCAAAACTTCTTGTGCAGTTAAGATACATAAATGTTACAAACTTAAATTAACGTTATTGAACAGCATAATTAATGACGTCTTTTATGCATTTGTTTTGTGAATTCAGGCTAATAAATTTGTTTTTACTGATTGAAAATTGCAACCATAACATCATTAGACATTTTATATGGAATCACATCAAAACATTGTTCTCAGGGTCATTTTTTGGTTAGGATTATAATTGCAATCCATGCAATTACTGAGCAGCAGTTTGTGAATGCTTTTAAGAGGTTTGAAAATCAGTTTGCACAATGGATCATACAAACGATAGTGGTTAAGTCAAACTTTAAGTGTTCAACTAGTGGCCAAGTCGATAAAACAACTGAATGCTGGTAGATTTGCATCTGACCAGTTGGCTTGACACATGGAGTTTGCCAGGGTTTCTTCACCTAAATGGGTCACTTTTTTCGGATTTTCCAGCTGTTTCATTGTCTTTTTCCATTAATCCAGTCTAACCAAATAACATAAGCTGTTGATGGTGTTTTTGTTAATTTATAACATCTATATGTCTTAAGCTTAAAACTGTGAGACCCCTGGGACATTTTGTATTCACATTTGCAAATGCAATGTGATCAAATGTTTGACAAAAGGGAAATATTAATGTGTAATATCAAAAATTAACTATATGATAACAGTGATACATTCTTACTTGTGGTTCATATTCCAAAGCAAATTCTGCCACATATTGCAAATACAACATAATACATTTTAACAAGCTTATGAAGTCTTGTTTATTTTTTTGTTGTTTTTTGAAGTTGAGATGCTTCCTTCATTCATTCATATAATCATTCAATTATCACAGCTAGTTTATGGCAACTTGAGGATGGTTTCTGTTCAGAATAGTTTCTTTGTAGTTTCTACATGCTGCAAATGTATGATATTCATTATTCATTTGCATCTGAAGATGAAGACCAACTTTATTTTCAGATACAAACAATGCCACAGCTTTGAAAATATTAATGAAAGATAAATAAGACTACTTAATCTGTTATCACTTGTTGCATTGTTCTTATTTATAGTTCATATTTTATTATATACTGCATTTTACATTTTCATTTAAGAGAATTTTCATTGCCTTAAAAAGTATTCATTATATAAAATGTGTATAACAATAATATTTATAAATAATTTTTTTATAGTAATTATTTCTGACAAGTGAACAAAAGTTGGTAGGCATGTATGTGTATCTATATATGTATATATTAAAAATTATTTTTCCATGCATCATTTACTAAGAAAATTACATAAATTAACAAGATAATTTATTTCATAATAATTAAATATTTCTGTAGAAGGAATATGTCAAAACAGAACTCTTTAAAACTGCAAAAAAAGGATGGGGCTTGAGAAGTTTGCAGGAGCTACCACAGTAAGTATATTCATTCTTAATCTTAAAAAAATTTATAAAAAAACATTTCTGTATATGATATGATATGTTATTTGATAATAAATTTTAATTGTTGATATAAATAAATTTATGCTATGTTGGTATGTGTTGAGAATTTAGCTCCCTTAATAATTCATTATAATTAATAGTGGTATTTAATTGCTCTCTCTAGAAAAAATTCTGTATTTTTTAATTTTGTTAATAGTTAATTAGATGTAGGGATGGATCAATAAACAATCATTTGGGCCAGTCAGCCATGTTGTTGCTTCTGACTAGTTGTTGATCCATCCTTACAGAATTATTTTGAAAATTTTGTTTTTGATAGGATTTAGGAATATTTGAATAATCAAATGCAGATTTTCAGATTGTCTAGAAATTTGATAATATAAAATTGTTACAATTATCATTTTTTAACTATAATGCATAGGCACTATAAATTTTTAATGCACAAAAATATATTATTTTTAATTAGTGTAACCATAACTATTTGTGTACGTACATTAAACTTATGTAGTAATTGAATCGTCCTTTTGTTTTTCTTACAACAAGCTAACTTAATAGAATATATATTAATTAAAATAAATTTATCTATCCATTCATTAGCAGTATCTGTTAAATAATTATCTTATTACATCATTATGATTGTAGTTTTTCAAATTATTTTGAATAATTTTTTTTCTAAGGGGAACATTTGTAATGGAATATGTTGGAGAAGTACTCTGCCCACAAGAATTTAAGCAGCGTGTTAAACAATATGCAAGAGAAAAGACGCAGCATTATTACTTTATGGCGTTAAAAAGTGACGAGATTATTGATGCTACTTACAAAGGAAACCTTTCTCGCTTTATTAATCATAGCTGTGATCCAAACTGCGAAACACAAAAGGTAAATTTCAGTTTTGTTTATTTTGTAATTGATAGAAATTACAAGTCATTTTACAAATCTTGGCTGGGAGTGACAAATCTTTAAATAAATCTAAAGCTCTGTTTAAGTAACATGTTACTCAGAGCTCTGGATTATTTAAAGAGTATATATTCAGCAACCCGATATATGTTTCACAACCTGTTAAATTCATATGATCTGTACAGTACCTTTAACATTACAACAGTCTAGCCAAGATTTATGAGATGTATGGTATAAATGATATTTAAGAAATTTAAACTTGATATATTTTAGTTAAATTTTGGGAAATAAATATATTTGTATTAAAAAGTATAAATGTATGCATTAAAAGTACATTTGCATCCATTTCTATTCTGATTGAATCAAATATTGAAAAGAAAAATTTTTTTAAAAATATGTTGTTAGAATAATTTATTGCTATGAATTTATGAAAACAGTTACTTTCAAGTAACTGTTTTTAACTAGTCATTATGTAAGGACTAGTTTTTATCTAAAATATTACAAACTGCTAATAAATGTATCACATCTATAAGAGAGTTGTTTATTAAAGTCAAAAATCTTGTAATTGTGGTAATTGTGGAAAATTTAATTTATTCCAATTATTGGTATCTGACATACAGATAATAGTTTAGAATGCCATTTACATAAGTCATTTTGAAGTCTGAAATAGACAAACGACAAATTTTAAATATGCTTAGTCCAAGCTAAAAAAGTTATTTGACAGTTTTCATTGAATGTATTGAATTAGTTTTAATAGTTTTTCAGTTGTTTAATTCAATGTTTTTCACTTCTTTTCTTTTCGCAGATTAGTAAAATTATGGGTAATTTTAAGTCAACCAATAATTCTATGCAACTATGAATTATGCCTATTTATTATGCTTATTAGAGTTACTATATGTAACAAAGTATATACAGTAATTCTAGATTACTATTTAAATGTCACCCATAATTAACTGCACTAGTGTCAGTATGATCAAATACTTTTCTGAGGACTGGTGACATTTTTTTGTGGACTGACAGTTGAAAAACACTGGTTTAATTAACAGTAAGAAAAAAATTCAGTTTAGATTGTTTGAAATATATTGATTATAACATAACAACAATAACAATAATAATAATAAAATCTTTATAGCATTTTGGGTTTGATTTTAATATTCTTTTAGTGTAATATTATTGACAAATAAAAAATTTAACCAACACCTTAATATTCACTGAGAGATTTTTTATTATAACAAACGTTTTTGATCTATTCAATAGATCATCTTCAGGTTAAAAAGAATATTTCTTAAATGGAACACAAGTTCAAAAATTCAAAAATACTAATAACCAATAACATATCCAGTAATAAGAATAACTAATACTTTGTAAATGATACAAAAATGTAAAAATAAATAACATATTACTCGTACTATATATTAATACTGTCTATCCTATCTAGACAGAATTTCCTTTAAAACATACTAGAGTTCATGCGCCTCTTGTAAGTTTTTAATGGCATACTTCCAAGCCAAAGGAAGACCCTCCATGTCCCTTGCGTTAATGCATTTTTATTTAAGCTTGCTTCTGTAAATTTCTATCTTTTCAGTCGTTCTTGCCAGAGTTGGAGAGTGTATCTGTTTTAGGATTTCCACTTCATTTCATTGAACCAAAGATCCTTCTACTTGTGCCATCTGGGCCAATACTGTTGTATTAGAACCTTTTCTAATATCATACCTGTGTTCTTTGATCCTTACACCTAGGTTTCTAGTAGTAACCCCTACATAATTTTTTTTTATACTTATTAGCTGGTTCTTGTAGGGAATCTTATACATATCCACCTTATCTTCTTTTTTAACAATCCCTTTATCGTTTCTAAGTATTTTATACAAATTTGGAGCTTTTTTTTAAGATCACCTTTGTATCTTTTATATTTGCAATTTCTTTCATAATTGCTCCTAAATACTTGTTGTATGTAAATTTCATGTACTTAGATGGACCTTGTCTAGTGACTTTATCATTACTGGCCTCAAATTTACTAATAATTTCCTCTATAACATTCCTCTTATAACTTAATGTTCCTGCTATCTGTATAATTCTTTTTATCTCTGTATCCCAGTATATAAAAGCCCTTCTAATCAATGCTCGAAATGCTGCAAACTTATACCTATAAAGGTCATTAGAGCTTGCAGGGATATATAGAGGGCTGTGCATTGGTTTAATGAATATGCTAGTGGATATATGCCCTTTGTTAAATATGATATTAATGTCTAAGAAATGTACCATCCTGGAGGTTTTTTGCTCTAGCTTCAGGCTAAGGCCTTCTTCGTTTTCGTTAATTCTATCTACAAAGTTAGCAATTACTCAATTGTTTTTCCATATTATGAATATATCATCTACATATCTCTTGTAGTATACTATATCTCTTTCGAAGCTATGCAGAACTTTTTCTGTTTTTCTAACAACAAGCTCTCAAAAGAGCCCTGAAATTGGGCTTTCCATTGGAACTCCCCTATTTTGCCTATATGTTTGGTCTTCGAAAGTGAAGAATGATTTGCAACATACTAGGTTAGTCGTCTCTATAACCTCATTTCTGTGTTGTGTTAACATTGGGTTTTCTCTAAACAAGAACTCCAAAAGTGCTTCTACACAGGATTCAATCTTAATAGACGGGTACAAACTTTTGTAATCTAACACAATTCCCACTTCTTCATCCATTAAAGTAATGCCTTGTAGCTCTTTAATCACCATAACATGATCCTTTGTCACCAATTTATTATTTTCCATCAGGGAGGAGATGTATTCTTGCAACCTTTTTAATGATAAATATTTTATACTCTTACATTACAAAGTAATTGTATGCTTACGGTTATATATATATTGAAAATTTAAAATTTTATTTTACTTAACTTAAAATAAAATCTTATACAGTAGAGCATCGTAGCTCTTTAATCACCATAACATGATCCTTTGTCACCAATTTATTATTTTCCATCAGGGAGGAGATGTATTCTTGCAACCTTTTTAATGATAAATATTTTATACTCTTACATTACAAAGTAATTGTATGCTTACGGTTATATATATATTGAAAATTTAAAATTTTATTTTACTTAACTTAAAATAAAATCTTATACAGTAGAGCATCAATTATCCGAAAGTCAATTATCCAAAACGTCAATTATCCGAAAGAATTCCAGTCGGCAAATTTAAATTTTCGCCAGTGCTGTGGCACTGCAATCTTTGGCCATGTCTTGGGCTACGCAAATATTTTACGTTTTTGATACTAAATTAACTTCTGAAGTATAATTTTTTATTGTTTTTATANTATGAATTTTAAGAATGAGATAACAGCTGTTGTTTCAAAGCTTCCTAGACATTTATATTTATATTCATTTATTAGATTTTCTAGAGTATATCTACTTAAAATCTCATTAGAATTATTGAGTTAACCTTAACATATGACCATATCTACTTCATTCTATTATTTTAAATAATGTAGGCTCTAGTTTTTCACAAATGATTATATTAAATATTATCACCTTTTCTTCTGATGCCACATGAATAAGTTCATTCTAGATTTATGTAAAAATCCTCTACCTACAATTAATTTAAATCTGGATCCCCAAAGTGGTCAACATTGACACCCAGAGTTGATAAGGCATTTTTGGGAGTTAATAATTAGTCGGGAGTTGATTGAAAATGATTGTTAAAAATGATCAGTCCAATGAATTACATTTATGAAAGTTTAGGATGTTTTAAATTTGCACACTAAATAGATCTTTTCTATGAAAATGATGTGCAGACTAATATTGGCTTAACAGATTTATTTTATTTACTATGGTGTCAAAGGAGTTTATCCTACACAGCATACTTATATACCAATATCTAGTGTTAAGTCAGACCAAAGTTATGCTATGAATTTATTATTAACTGTATTAGCAAAAAAGAGGGGATTGCAGAATTCTTTAAGGAATCAACAATCAAAGAAAGGTTAGGATCCCTGATTTAAATGAAAAACATAAAACATTTTAGTTTTCAGTTGTAAGTAATTACTGATTATCCAATAAATATATTATTTGTTAATCAGCGAAGAGAATTTATATGGAAGATAAAAAGATGCACTAGACAGACGTCATTATTTCTGGTATTAATTTATAATTTTAACAGTGGTGCACTGACTTGATTAATTGTTTTAGTTTAGATATTGATAATTATATAGTTTACATTAACAGATAAAAATAAAATAAAATATTGGTCTTAAATGTTCCTGCTCCAAGATCATTTGTACTTTGAAAAATGATGTTTGGAGAAAAATTTTAAAGTACAAATGATATTTGCTTAATTTATTGAACAAAAAGAAAATGCAAAAGTAGATTAAACAGAAAGAATAAAAATAGAGATAACATACTGAGTTTTCTGTTTGAGGGAGAAGTCATCTGTCTTAATACATTAGATTTTTATAAACTGAATTTTATAGCATAATGATTGATGTACTGTACATTGTATGTTAGGTTTTATACATTTTTTAAAATTTCAGATAAAACAAAAACATTCTAGAATTAACATGTCTGTTAGAAATTTCACTTTAGTAATTTTCAGTTTTGTTTATGAATTTTAATTATAATTTATGTAATTTGCTTAATTTCATAATCTTAAAATTTGAAATAATTTAAGAATAAAAAAATTTCTTCAATACTATTTTACTGACTTATTAATTACTACGAAAACATTCATCTCTTCTTTACTAAAACTAGAAAAATGAAAGTGTTCTTAACTGTTGTAATACCAGTAAATTCTAAGTTATGAATTCATTTTTAGTCTGCTTTAATAGACTTTTTGTATAGATTTTTTTTTTGTGCACTTTCTCTGTTGAAAAATAACTTTAATTGGAATCTCTAAATATATTCTGATTGATTGCCAGAGTTAATAGATTAGAAATATTCGAAAAGTTATGACAAATGTACTTTGAACATTTCAGCAGTTTGAATTTTTCTAAATTTTGA